TATAGACCTACTGACACATATGTTACAGACCTACTGATATGAGTCACAGCACACATAAACATTTCAGACATTTGTAACGAACCTGTGCTCCGTCGCAAGATCACTCACTTCAAACGCTATCAGTTTCACGCGTCTCGCATCCACCATTCCTCAGTTTCTGACGACATGTCAAATAACGAGGATGTTATAAAATCTACCGACTGTTGTCAGGTTCCCATACAATCAACAAATAAATTCACGCCTGGATTCTTCACAAAATGAGCAAAGAGAAAAGTTCGAATTAACTTCCAAAAATAAAGCTGTGTCATTCAAATAGATCGTAAATACCATACAAAAACAGTTCAATGCTTAATTATATGCATGGTCTAGAAAATAAAATTGGCCAAAGACATTGAGTTGTACAATGTAATAAATAAATTCACAAACGTTTCTCTTTTTTATACGCGTGTAGTTTGTCATTGCATATATGCACTTTATGTAAACATTTGAAAAGGGATATTCGTCTCGTGAATATTCCTTTTTACAAAAAGGTTTGTCCCATGGTTGAGGGAAGGTGTTTAGCCACGTACCATCTTTACCGGTCACATTCCGAATTTATTCATATTATCATTGTTGACATTTAATTGTAAATGTATGACGGGAGAAGGCTGTGATAAATTGTAAAAAATTGTGCCCCATTCCTTGTTCAATTTTATTGGCAACAAATATATGTTTAAAGCTAAATAAATTTAAATTCTGAATATTGGCAAGTGTGCAATTAACTTCTTATGATGAATAATTATTGTTCAATAAGTTTGAATACGGACTTAAAAATCATATTACTTGGTTTCATAGTGCGGTAAGAAGTTGCAGTTGCCTGAAGGCCCGTCTCTGGGGGCCCCTTTGAAAACCGTTTCATCTCGCTCACACCACTTGTGTTTACTGCCTAGTCAGGTGACATTATCGGCGCTATTTTTAGCCGGGCTTTCCCGAACAATTCAAGTGGTCAAACTGGACATTTGAAACGGACTACGAATATGGGGATAGCGAGGTAACATAAGTGGAAGTGCAAACAATACATACATTCATTAAAAAAAAATATTGCTCTTCACGTGATGTCCCTTTAATATATATATTTATTACCGTTTGTTGTTACTTCATTGTGAACACATTTTGTACACATTTTGTTACTATAGACAGTACCTGTACCTGGTATCATGAGAGACTTTTTGCCTTGTATCATTAGATATTTTTGAAATCTCTCAATTGTAACATTATAGACTTATGGTGAAATAGGCAGATTTCTCACCAGACCAGAATTCCAAGGCTGACCGAGAGATCTCGCTCAAAAGGCCATGCTGGAGTACAGCCACTGGTTGTAACTTGATATTACTAATCAATACAAAGTAAAAGAATTGGTCTAGGAAAATAGCTGTGAAATATTCTTAACTTTATAAAAAGCGTAAAAGAAAATATCATGAGAAACAAGCTTTCTGTTAATATATCATTGTAGTTTGATTATTAAGTAGTTGTAATAAATGTAGTTCAACTAACTTGTTGAATGTTGGTAAGGTAATGAACATAGAAATCTCCTCTTATCAGTTTCTCTATCACATCACACGAAATCCCTCTATTCGGCCTGTCTGGTTTATAATAATAGTAATAATTCGACGTTCTTATATAACGCTTTATCACAACCTAGTTCATAGGTCGTCTCAAAGCGGTTTAACTGCTTATATTGTCATTTAAAGTGTTATATATATCCGATTCTTTGAGAAAAAACCTTGACATAGTTAATTTATTTACGAGGTTAATCGAATACATTAACGCAATCTAATACCATTTACAGATAAGATTTGGAGCCTCATCGATGATGATATGTCACGAAATGAACCTCGTATTTAAATGCAGCAGTTTGTTTCTAAAGAGAAAAAACATAATCGAGCTTTGCACGCCAAAATTTACTTAACAAATTTCCTCAACAAACAAACGCGCCATCCAAAAAACACCAATGTTTGTCAACAAATCAAAAATTAACATCGAAGTTTGAAGATATTCGACGAGTTCAAAATAATTGATAGACAAATCGTACTTACCCTGTCCAAATTGTTTGCATAAGAAGTATATCAACATATTTAAAAATATAAGCACTAAAGTTCACATCAAGTTAAATTCTTAATAAAATTTTGTGTTATTGTTACTGATGTATACTGATCTACCACACCTGTTAAGCAATGATAATAACAGATATTATAATAATAATAATATACCACATTTGATATAGCGCCTTATCTAGCTAGCATAAGCCACTCTAAAGCGCTTTATTCCTTATATTAACTGATAAGTACAATTGCTGACAGTGTGCATAAATTGTACGCTATTTTAATAAATTACTGTCCATGAGTACAAATAAATATCATGACAATGTGTGACAAGTTCGTTACAAAACAATGAGAATTGTAGTTAAACATTCTTACAAGTAGGCAATTGTTTAAAGCTATTCCAATATATTTAGAGACCAATACAATGATGTTGAAATCAATGACCCCTAGGGTCAATATAAATCAATTGCAGTCTTAGTGTAAGTGTTCGTGTTTTAGGCCAAACTGTCTACATTAAGTATTACATGTAGCCAGATAGATTAACCTTTTGAAATCGAACAGTTTAAATGAAATTGATATTCAGTAAAGTGAGAACTTGGCATATTATGAAATTTTTACGTGAGATAATAAAGGTAAACAACTATACTGCATATTATTCCTTATGACCTAACCAAACACTAGATCTATCCTGTGTACATATATATATAACTGGCTTATACATTGTATCTACCTATCTGAATATATTACATCTTCAACTTGCATGCAGTATATGTTTGAAATGTATGTGTTTTCTATATGGAAAGGGCTTTTATAGACGACGCCTGTGCCAAATCCTATTGTTAATTGAAGAAATAAAATAATTTTGAAATGAAACATTATTCATGCTGAGATTTTTCTCATTATTGTGATCCCATGAAACATTCAGAACAATATATCATGTCGTGAGTATACCTCAACATTTATTATTTACTTACCGAGGGATCACTTCCAGGGACGTAGTGGGTACAGTTCTCCTTTAAAACAAACCATATAATTGATTTACAATGTAGAATCATTGTTTAAAACATGTCACAGAGCAGATCATCGTTTTGTAATTTTGTTTTTTATATTTTTATAATAAAATAGATTTATATTTAATATGAAGAAGTTGAAGAAACATGCTGAAGCTGTAATGGTTGTTGAATAAATTACATTCCAAATGTGATTTCTTCAGTTGCTGAAAACAATATTACTAATCCTCCTACATTGTCCAGCCTTATTCCATTTAAAACATAAATGAAGGAATAACCCTATTGTCGCAGATCAAAATATCATGACGTGAGCTGCATAAGGCCTAAACGTTATTGTCATCTATTATCTTTGATTTGGTACATGTAACTCACCTTGTCTTGCGATGAGACGATGGGTGTTATGAAGAAGAACAATACCAATACCCGACGAAGCATCTCCATGACTAAAGAAGAAAATCATAAGCTACTAAATATCTGGTTGGAAACAGTCTACTTTATAAATATGTAACAAAACCATGTCGTTAAGATTTGATTATCTCATTTCGTCACTCTTGCGAATTTCAATATAGATAAACTGTTGGTTTTACCCAATCGATGTCCATTTGGATTCGACTTAGAAAACAGTGTTTAATGAAAACTAAACAGATTACATTATAACAAAGTCATGTCCCTACCACACCCTCCAATGTTTGTACACCAGCAATACATTAATGTCATGTATTAGGTCGTATCAGCTGTAGTTGATTTATTAGATGAAACAACATAATTACCATAATTAAATTATTACATTTTTTATATAGTTTCATTTATACAACAATTGTGTTCACTTTTAAAGTGGAGCGAAGATATACATGTACAATAGTATGTCACCTTTCTTCTTTGTAATGCGATAACCCAGATAAAGCTATTATGCATGGGGGTACCAGTAATATATATCAAAGACTGGAGCTGAACATCTCATACAATATATAAACACAGATATAACAGATGTTACAAAAGACGTATTTGTGGATCCAGCAATTTAAAATACATACCTGTATATATTAACAGCTAAGTGTCCACGATATACATACATAGTCAAACATGTGTGAATATTCTATTTTGAGCGTTTGGGATTCCCATTTACCTATTTTTAGAGAACGTCAACGTTTACGCATACTTTTAACAGATTGATTAAATAAACCCAACATACCGGGTAAATTGATGGTGCCAGGTGAAACGAATCACGTGTCCAACACTGTATATATCACTGTACATATCACTACGTTACGGAATAAACAAATCACACTTATACACTCTCTATCATTGAACAATAGCAATACTCCCGCGAGGTCGATGATATATACACAATTGGTTTTCCGTTGTGGTATGTCATGTGTTCTATAGAAAGAACAAGGTGTGCTGATCTATTTAGCAATACTACGTTTACATATATTAAGACCATTATCATTTATCATATAGCGCAACACACATACAACGCATATCTTTATAATATAGAAATATTAAAATATCACTTTGTAAATATTTCATGGCCAAATATGTCACACTTGTTATTTGAACATTACATATGTTATCACGTTTATAATATGTGTAACCATATCGCAACATTGTGTTTATCTGTTAACCTTTTTCACATACTCTGGCTTATTAAAATATTTACAGTCCCAATCGATATCAAACCGACATAGGAAAACAATAGGTAGCCCCATGCATCAAATGGCTTGACATCCACGTTAAGAATATAGAGCACTGTCGTCGGATTAGTGCCACTATTAACGGTATTAACTAACTCCTAAGTTGTCCTCTTTACACTCTTATTGATTCCCTAAACATATGGAAACGGAGGACACATCACTCGGACATACTTACCCAATGTAAACACAACGGAGATTAACCCTATGGCAGATCGACCGTTTCCCGGTCCATCTTTCAATCGGAAGGTTCAACTATTGTTTAGATAATATAGTCTGGAATATGGTACTCAACCGATAACCCCTCAATACGTTATATTTTTAAAATGGATTTTTGAATAAGACAAATCAGATGTTTTGATATAATGAGTTTATTGGAACAACATACATGGCCATTTTCATCCCATACAGATGTAACCGGCCTAGTGGATATATTCAATACAACTATGTATATCTTACTGCAATACGGAGAACTGCTATATATAGTACTTTCAGATATTATTTACACACATATATGAAACTCTGTGTCATTTAACGGAAGTAATACTGACACAAATCTGGATTATGGGTAGGAGTGTATTTCGATGAGACATATATAGAAACCAGGTTTTCCTTTAATAATTCGTATCGCAGCGTCGTATGGTCTATAGTAAGAATATGGTTTGCAGTTGTATTTGTAATTACGGGGGTTTGTAGGGTTCCTTGCCGACGTGGAGATTCTCAGATATAACCAAGCCAGGATTTGAGGTTCAACATTTTATTCGTCCGGGAGTTTCATCCCTGTAAATCATTAAAATATACACATAAGACACATACATTTCGTATCGAACGCATTTGACTAGAATAACGCAATACACAATACACACGTACATTGATTGTAACATTCCACACCACACGTTTTCCAAACGACCAGACTATAACTGGACAATACATAATTGACGAGATAATTTACACAATGGCTTACGCAATAATATATAAATGTGGTTTACACTATAATGGTACGTTCTCTATTTATAAATATATAAACTAGCATTCTAGTGAGAATAAATACATACGCTCTACTAAATGACAAAAATATTGACCACGCCCATCGGCGAAAATATAAAGGTAAATTAGAAATAGTCAGAAAATAATAATTTCAAGAATAAATAATACTTTACTTCTAATTCTATACTAGTTCCGAATATATAAAAAGTATTATTCTAGCCTATAAAATAAACAGAACAGTGACCTACCTAGTATGTGGTACCTGGGATAGACTCCGTTCATGATGCTCATAGGGCAGATTGAGATGATCGATGTATTCAATATGGAAGGTATCGATGAAATGGGCAGATAGAAAGTTCAGAGGTAGCGAAGAAAACTTTAGGGCGGGAAAAATGCACGCAATGCGACAGATGTCATGGGTCATTGGTCAAGTTGTCAAACTAGTTTACAAAAGACATACACAACATACACAATACGTCACATAGACCACACACGTATACACATCTAAAAACGAAAGTAGCGATGACGTGATACGGCGACTTCGGTAGTGAAAACGCGGCACGGATAACGGAATGAAAGAACAAAATACGGATTAGAATATAGATAATGAAATCGTAAATTATATTGTTACTAAAGAACTCATATTCAGTATGTTCCCACTGAGTATGTACTTATTCAAATAATTATGAATATCAAAATAACAAGGGTGCTACATACACCCCCCTGTTGAGAGAAATGTTGCCCCCAACATATGTATTATGAGGACAAGGTTATCTATATATGAAAAATGAAACAATGTAAAACATAATATGATAAATTCAAAAACTACTAAAAAAAATGTCAAGATAGGACACTGGCGGTTTCAGTACTGGATTACTCGACCACAAATTTGATGATAGCCGCTAACAGTCTTTCTGCACCCGGCACGAAAAGTCCTTCCGGGGCAAGTGACCTCAGATACTCCGCCTTACTCTACGAATTCCATTGAACGGTTCCCTCCGTCACCATAACGAAGTCGTCGAACCGTGATGGTTGTCGCCGCTCCCTTCCAGATCTCCGTAAAACCGGTGATCCCACAATTGGCTCAACATCTACGGCTCCGTCTTCGTCAGCCCCCTTACCACTGGCCTCAGATTCCTCTATCTCGGACTCGTTGTCCTCAGATTCGGATCCGGCAGTGGATCCCACCACGGTCGACTCATGGTCAGCATTCTCAGGTTCACCGCCATCAACACACTCCGGAGCATTGTGCAAAACCTGTATTCTTTGAGGCACCGGCATCCATTGTTCCCCTTCTCAATCGCTATTCACTGTCCTCGCTTTCTGTCCTTTCATCCACAGATGGGGTCTGTGGGGGCAGAGGGTGGACCCTGAGTCGGGGTCTTGGTGTCGGTCGAGGTTTCGGGTTGGGTGGTATCGACTCGTCTGGAATAATAGTAGGGTCTAAGTACCCTATCGGTAACAGTAGATTACGATGCAGTGTTCGCTTCCTACCATCTCCACTCTCTTTCCTTACTACAAACACTGGCATGTCTGAATTGGGCTACTCCAACACAACGTACACATCCTTTTCCCATTTGTCGGAGAGCTTGTATTTGCCATCAAAAGCGACAATCAACACACTGTCCCCGGTGGAAACACAGGCACCACGTATACGCTTGTCGTAGCCATCCTTCTGTTGTTGCTGGGAATGTAATGCTTTCGAAGTAGCTATGTCATACGACTCTTGAAGACGCGTCCTCAGCTCCCCTACATACTTCGTAGACGACACCGTCTCCTTGCTTTCTCTACTGATGTCGAAGGCCAAGTCTATCGGAAAACGAGGTTCTCGTCCGTACATCAAATAAAAGGTTGAGAAGCCGGTAGTGTCGTTTCTCGTAGCGTTGTAGGCATGTACGAGCGTGGCGACGTACGCTTTCCAATCTTTCTTTTGCTCGTGTTTCAGTGTCCCTAACATGCTCAACACGGTCCTATTAAACCTCTCGCATTGCCCGTGTCCCTGTGGGTGATACGGTGTTGTCCTTGAATGGTCAATCCGTGCGAGTTTGTAGAGATCTTTCATAAGATTACATGAAAGTTTGCGCTTTGATCAGAGTGTGTCCTATTCGGCATCCCGTAATGGACAACAAAATGATTGAAAAATGCGTCCGCTGTTGTTTTGGAGGTCTGGTTCTTGGTAGGTATTGCCACAGCATATCTAGTAAAATGATCTGTGATGACGAGAATGTGCTGAAAGTTCCCTTTCGATGGTTCCAATGTCAAAAAATCCATGTTGACTAGTTCAAGGGGCTGTGTGGTAGTGATCGATACCAACGGTGCTCTCTCATTCGTCAGGGATTTCCTCCGTAAACATCGTGGACATCCTGCGACCCACTTCTCGATATCAACAGTCATTGTTGGCCAATAAAACCTATCCCTGCACAATGCTGTGGTTCGGCTGATACCCAGGTGTCCCATATTGTTGTGTAGGCTATTAAGTACAAAGGTGACGAATTCCTGCGGTATAACTAGCTGTAACTTCACCTTTCCATCCACTTGAGCTTCTCTGTACAGTATTCCTCGTTTAACTTTGAGGGAGTCGAATTGACGATACAAGTTGGGACTCCAGGTAGCGGCTGACACGGCAGCTTTCACCGGTTTGCAGCCACTCGAGACAAAATCGAGGCATGGGCCAAGGACGAGGTCCCTCATTTGTGACTTCCTCAAGTCGCGATGATCCATGTCGAAGTTGCCCTCGTCATCACCAGCTGATGATGACGGTAGGG